GCCCTTGAATCATGGATAAATCTTAGGAGAGGAGAATCAAGGGAGGAACATAATTGTATCCGCTATCTTGATGAATAAAATTATGTTTATTCAGATTTTATTTTTGTGGTTTATTTATTTTTCGTATGTTTAAAATTTGTTGCAAACAAATTGGCACGCCCAGTGGGACAATCTCTACCTCTCATCTCAACTTTTCAAGCATCAAACAACATTGAGATGACTTCCATGAAGAACAACTCTTGATCAACTGCCTCTAAGGCCACTAGCTCCAAGTTCTCTACTGAAGTTGAAGGAATTCTTGATGTTACCTTTGGAAGTTTCGGAGCTGTTACGAGAAACAAAGCTGCTATGCTAGGATAACAAACACTGCAAGTGTCGTCTGTATCAACTCCTGTTTTTGGGTCTTCAACTCCAAAAAGAGCAAGTTCCTCCACAAATGCTTTGGAATGAGGAATCAGCATTGCTTAAAAGATCAAGGAGACATTGGATCTACTTGAGCAATCTGGTTCCAAGAATTCTACCACAAGGGAGAACTATGATTCAACTAATGAATCATCTCCATATGCATCGCGTAACATGAGTCCGCTGAATATTAAGTTACGCGACAATCCATGCTACTCTCCTACATCACCCGTGATCATGTAAACAATGGTAACTGCTGCTTCCTCTCTTGAGGAACAACTCGCAAATTTGACAAAGTTGGTTGAAGGATTGACAAAGCATGTACAACACTAAGAGTCTCGAATTGATAAGTTGATGGATAGGATGGAAGGACTTTTAGATGGAGAAGCGATTCATGCGCTTAGAAAGGGTGTTAAAGTTCAAGAGATCAGAGATCCTGCGAAAAAAACACTACTTGTTAATGAGATGCCAGTTTATTCTGAAGGAATGATCCCACTTGATCGCTTGAAAGAGTTTATTAAAGGCACTATCAAAGATAAGTATGAAGTCTCCACCAAGTCTTCTCACATGTATGCCAAGCCATACACTGCGAGGATTGAAAATTTAAAAAAAATCCTGCTAGTTATCAACCTTCTAAATTTCAACAGTTTGAGGGTAAAGGAAATCCAAAACAACATGTTGCACACTTTGTGGAGACATGTAATAATGCTAGAACCTATGGAGACCATCTCGTCAAACAGTTTGTCCGCTCTCTAAACGGAAATGCCTTTGATTGGTACACAAATCTCAAACCTAATTCTATTGATAGTTGGGAGCAACTAGAGCACAAATTTCTCAATTGTTTCTATAGCACAAAGCATATGGTGAGCATGGTAGAACTCACAAATACTCGCCAAAGGAAGGATGAACCGGTTATAGATTTCATAAATCGATGGAGGAATGCGAGCCTATATTGCAAGGATAGGCTTAGTGAAGCTTCTGCAATCGAAATGTGTATTCAAAGAATGCACTGGGAGCTTCTTTACATCTTACAAGTAATAAAACCAAAATCCTTCGAAGATCTAGCTACTCACACTCATGATATGGAGTTAAGCATGTCCTCTGCTGGAAAAGATATGACGTATGTCCGAGACCCTTGCAAATGAGCGACAAGAAAGAACCCAAGAGATGGAGTAAATTTATGCCTAGAAATGACAATAAAAAATCCATAGAATGTTAATGTGTCGCCTGCGAAGATCACTACGAATGAGGGCATGAAGCAAAATGTGAGAACGGCTTTCCAAGCACGTTCAAATCAAAAGTCGACACTAAGGGAGATGCAAGAAAAACAATATCCCTTCTTGGATTCTGACGTTTCTGAGATTTTTGATGAGTTGCTCGAGTTAAAGCTCATTGACTTGCCAGAGATGAAGCGACCCAATGAAGCTGGAAAAGCTGATGACCTAAATTATTGCAAGTATCATAGACTTGTGAGTCATCCTCTCGAAAAATCTTTTGTCTTCAAGGATAAAGTGATGTGATTGGTTAACGAAAAGAAAATTGTCCTTGATAATGAGAAGACTAGTTCTAACCAGATCTCTATCACGTTCGGCTCACTCGATCCGATCCAAATATATATCTCTGAAAAGCATGAAGAAGAGTCATTTGAGCAGGAAGTTGATATAGATGGTGACGAAGGCTGGATTCTTGTAACTAGGCGAAAACGCAACAAGTGAAGCTTACGAAAAGAATCATCCGAGCAACCGATTAGAGAAAAAATGGTGAAGAAATTGGAGAAGCAGAAATCAATCAAACGCCCAAAGAGGGAAAAGGTAGAAGTGCATCACTACCAAAAACTCCGACGTCCTGTGACTCTAGAGGAATTCTTACCAAGTTCGTTCGACATAAAGTCTACTCAAGACAATGTCGAGACATCATGTTTCAATGTTGATAAAGCATAAATAATGAAGGTGCCTCCTACTGACAAAGAAGGAACAATGAGTGAATACTCACCAAAAGTGTCTCCTAGTGACGATGAAAAGACAACAAGGGAAATCTCGTCAATGATGTCTCATTCACCTTCTGAAACACCTATTGAACCTTCTTCCCAAGAAGCACATGCATGTGATACAAAAATTACATTTACAGATAATGATCTTTTATTCGGTGAAACACTACACAATCGTCCTTTGTATATGACGGGTCATGTGCTAGAGAAGAAGATAAATAGAATCTTATTAGATGAAGGATCTAGAGTCAATATTCTGCCTATCCACACATTGAAGGAACTCGGCATCACGACTGGAGAACTTAGTGAAAGTCGTTTGTTGGTACAATGATTTAATCAAGGGGATAGAGGTCCATAGACTTTATTAAATTAGAGATCCACATGGAAGATTTGCGATCAAGCGCATGGATGCATGTGATCGACGTAAAGACGTCATACAATATATTACTTGGCAGACCTTGGGTACATGAGAATATAATTGTCTCATATTCTTACTATCAATGTTTGAAGTATCTTGAAGGCAGGATTGAAAGAAAGATAGTTGCAGATGATAATCCTTTCACCGAAATTGAGACACACTTTGTCGATGCGAAATTCTATTTGAAAAGTTATGTTGTTAAAGGGGCCAAATCTAATGATGTAAAACCAATCATGTTTGATAAGGTCATAAGCAAAAGAATTGATGCAGCAGTTGGAAAGGTAAACGTTGACACTAAAGAACTTTGTCCCATTCTTAATGAAGGGAATATCATGTCTTCGAAGAAGAAGCTGACCTCTAGACTTTGCTATGTTACAAAAGTGAAGAAAGAAGAAGGTCAATCATCTAACCTTCAAGAAAATGTATTGAGAGGGCTAAATCTTCCTATCAGATGGATTGATGCAATAAACTTATCTTCAAAGTTGCTAGAAAAGTCAATCTCTCAAAATCAAGTGCGAGATGTGGCGCTCCCTACAAAACGCACAAGAGAAGGTTTTGATCCCAATGCTTACAAGTTATTTGTGAGGGCTGGATACAACCCTAATGAGCCATCAATGTTAGGGAAACTTGTATCAGAAGATATAACTAGGCAAGCACGTGAAGGCCTAGGCTATAGCCAACCGCCGCCAATTTGCATTTCCATAAGAAGGGCAAGCAACAACCATATAACTTTTGAAGATGATGTCGCTACTCCCAACAAAAAGCCTTTCGTCTTTAATCGACTTGGAGAATCGACTACAAGAACTTCTGTGTTTGAGAGGTTATGTCCATTGAAGAAAAACAAGAATCTGAGAAGTTATTTAAAAGTTACAACGCCTGCTTCACATTTGGTTCGAAAGGATTTCAAAAGTTTAATTCCTTCTAGAATGAGGTGACGAGTGGAACTTGTAGTTTCATGTAAAGAGGAACTCAAGGCAAAGGTTCACACTGTGGTTTACACCAAGGAGTACGAGGAAGATGAAGAATGTGTAGGCTCCTCAAATCATATTACAATCCAAAATGAGTACGATTCTTTGCCTCAAATGAAGATTGATGAAGAGTTAGAAGCTATTGTCTGGTATTGTCATATATCTGTCAATGACAATGATCCTTTAGAAGAGGAAGATGTTGGAGATGCTCCACCGAAACTTGAAGAAGGAGTAAAGATCACAATAGATCCTTTGAAAGAAGTTAACCTTGGCAATGATGAAGACCCAAGGCCAACTTACTTGAGTGCCTTTCTAGAAGTTGATGAAGAAATCGCTTATATGAATATACTAAAAAAATAGAGGGATGTCTTCGCTTGGAGTTATAAAGAAATGCCTGGATTGAATCCTAAAGTAGCGGTCCATCAGTTGGCAGTCAAAAATGGTTCTCGTTCTGTTAAGCAAGCTCAAAGACGTTTTGGGCCAGACTTGGTTCCATTGATAGAAAATGAAGTAAACAAACTCATTGAGGCAAACTTGATTCGTGAGGTCAAATATCCTACATGGATTTCAAGTATTGTTCCTATAAGGAAGAAGAATGGTCAAATTCGAGTATGTGTTGACTTTAGAGATCTTAATATTGCATGCCCTAAAGATGAGTTTCCTCTTTCTATTTCGGAGCTGATGATTGATGCCACCACTGGTTATGAGGCGATGTCATTCATGGACGGTTCTTCTGGCTATAATCAAATCCGCTTGGCTCCAAAGGATGAAGAACTCACCGCATTTTGCACGCCTAAGGGTATTTATTGCTACAAAGTGATGCCATTTGGTTTAAAGAATGCTGGTGCCACATATCAAATGGCTATGCAAAATATATTTGATGACTTGCTCCATAAAAATGTTGAATGCTATGTTGATGATTTGGTGGTAAAGTCGAGAAAGAGGGGTGATCATTTGAAAGACTTAAGAATGGTATTTGAGTTGCTCCGAAGATATCAACTAAGGATGAACCCATTGAAATGTGCCTTTGGAGTTACTTCTGGCAAGTTCCTTGGCTTTATTGTGAGACATCGAGGAATTGAAATTGATCAAGTCAAAGTTGATAATATCGAAGATGCCTGAGCCTCGAAATATTCATGAGTTAAAAAGTCTCCAAGGAAAGTTAGCCTACTTGAGGAGATTCATCTCAAATCTAGCGGGAAGATGCCAACCATTCGGTCATCTCATGAAGAAAGGTGCTCCTTTTAATTGGGATCAAACATATAGCGATGCCTTTAAAAGTATCAAATCGTATCTAGCGAAACCTTTGGTTTTGGCAGCCCCTATACCTGGAAAGCCATTGATACTCTACATTGCGGCACAAGAAAGGTCTGTTGGAGCCCTGCTAGCTCAAAAGAATAGTGAAGGCAAAGAAAACTCTCTTTATTACTTAAGTAGAACGATGACACCGAATGAGCTGAACTATTTGCCATTTGAAAAGTTGTGCTTGGCACTTGTCTTCTCAATTCAAAAGATGAAGCATTATTTTCAAGCGCATGTTGTCCGCCTCATTTCTAGAGCAAATCCCATCAAGTTTGTTATGTCAAAACCTGTCCTTAGTGATCGACTAGCAAGATGGTACCTCTAATTCCAACATTTTGAGATTGTGTACATCCCTCAGAAAGCTGTGAAGGGACAAACATTAGCGGATTTCTTGGCAGACCATCTGATACCCGAGATTGGGAATTAACCGATGATCTTCCTGATAAAGATGCGATGTCTATTGAAATTCAACCTCCTTGGAAAATGTTCTTTGATGGGGCTGCACATCGTGGCGGAGCTAGCGCTGGCGTAGTGTTCATCACTTCGCAAGAAGAGATTCTACCATTCTCCTTTACTTTGAAGCAATGTTGCTCTAATAATGTCGCTGGATACCAAGCGTTGATACTTGGACTTGAGATGGCCGTCGACATGAAGCAATTACACTTACAAGTCTTTGGTGACTCTCAGTTGGTGATCAACCAACTCTTGGGAAATTATGAGGTGAAGAAGCCCGAATTGCGTCCTTGTCATGACTATGCTCAAAAGTTGATAGGATGGCTTGGAGATGTAACCCTTCAACATGTGCGTAGAACGGAAAATAAGAAAGCTTATGCATTGGCTGTCCTGGCTTCAACACTAACCCTCCCTGATCAAACACAAGTTACTATTTGTCAAAAATGGATAGTACCACCGCCACATAAGGAAAAATATATAGAAAATGAGCTTGAGCATATCGTTGCCGTTTCTGAAGCCGTAAATGAAGATTGGAGACAACCCATTATTGACTACATGTGTTATTGGATACTTCCAGAAAATCCAAGGAGAAGGACTGACATTCATCGTCGTGCACCTCGCTTCCTTTACTACAAGGACACATTATATAGAAGATCATTTGAGGGTGTACTATTACGATGTTTGGGAGAGGAAGAAGCAATTCAAGCTCTGCAAGAAGCACACTTAGGAGTATGTGGATCACATCAATTTGGACCGAAACTCCACTTTCACATAAAGAGATGGGGCATTATTGGCTAACCATGGTGAATGATTGCTTAGATTATGCTCGGAGGTGCGATGCTTGTCAATTTCATGCAAATTTCATACATCAGCCACCTGAAGTATTGCACCTAACTATCGCATTTTGGCCATTTGACGCTTGGGGATTGGATGTTGTGGGACCACTACTAAAATTTTCTGGTGGACATTTGTACATCTTGGCTGCAACAAATTACTTCTCAAAATGGGCTGAAGCAGTTTCTCTTAAAGAAGTGAAGAAAGGGAATGTTGCAAATTTTATCTGAGTGAATATTATCTATCGCTTTGGCATCCCTCGTTACATAATAACGGACAATGGCAAGCCATTTGATAACAAGTTAATTAACAAAATTTGTGATCTCTTTGGCTTCAAGCAACGTAAATCTTCTATGTATCATGTTGCCGCCAATGGTCTTGCTGAAGCATTCAATAAGAGTCTATGCAACCTCCTGAAGAAAGTTGTCTCCAAGTCCAAACGGGATTGGCATGAAAGAATGGAAGAAGCTTTGTGGGCATATAGGACAACATACCGCACACCAACTCAAGTACCACCATATTCACTTGCTTTCGGAGTTGAAGCAGTCCTGCCACTCGAGCGTCAAATACCTTTCTTAAGACTTGCTATTTAAGAAGGGCTCATTGAAGAAGAAAATGTTCGATTGTGTCTTGCTGAGTTAGAAGCACTTGACGAAAAGAGGCTAGAAGCCCAACAAAACCTTGAATGTTATCAAGCTCGTCTATCTCATGCTTTCAATAAGAAAGTTCGCTTGAGGTGTTTCCAAGTTGGAGACTAAGTTCTCGCAGTAAGAAGACCCATCATTACTTCACACAAGTCTAGGGTAAATTTACCTAAAAGTGGGATGGACTGTATGTTGTACAAGAAGCATATTCACATGGTGCTTACAAACTTGTTGATGCAGATGGCGCAAGGATCGGTCCTATTAATGCAAAATTCCTAAAGGAGTACTACCCTTGAAGTAAGATGATGCTCTTTAAGGTACGAGCCTAAATTGCATGTCACTCCTGGCCTGCAAGAGTATAAACTGTGTACGACACAATGAAAAAAAAATCACTCAATCCCCCAGAACTACGTTGTGACTTGATCCTCTTCACCGAGGTACGTAGGCGCTTAGAATATATCCTAAGTTCGGTTGCATGAGTGTCAAAAAACCACATGTTCCCACTTGATCTGTCACATGAAGTGATAAGTATTTTGTTTTATCTTTTGTCTCATCAAATTGAGAGATGGGGGCAAACCCTTATGAAATATGAGCTTCTTTGACAGTAGGCTTGAAGTCTTTAAATTTAGACAAGTATGCAAGTTGAAGTATTTGAATCCTCTATTTATACAAGTTGAAGTCTTCAAATCCGACAAAGTAATATGATAAGTCCTACAAGTTTGCATGTTAGACTCTTAAATCAACCAAGTTACAAGTCAATGTCTTCGAATTCTATGAATTTACAAGTTAAGGCCCTAAAACTTGTTACGAGTTGAAGAATTAAATTCCACAAAACTGATAAGGCAAGTTTGAATGTGCAAACTTAAAAATGTGGAACTTGCACTATATTCATTCTTATTGGCATGCAAAATAAGGAATGACTTTGAATTACTAAAAGCTTGGGATCAAGAATTAAAGATCAAATTCAAATTGGATTATGCAATAAAAATGCATGGTATGAAAAAAGAAGAAAGGAAAGAACTTCATTACTATAAAATTGTCTAAAACATCAATCAAATGCTAAAGAAAACAAAAAAAGGGAAACACGGAAAAAAAGGCCTAATCTAAGCGTAACTTGTAGTTAGTCAAATCTTGATGACTAGCCTCCAAGCACTCTCTTTTCTGTTCCAAACGAATTGAATATTCAAGCGTTAATGAAATCATATTTTCATACGAGAATATCTCATCTTCTGTAGCTAAAATCTTGGCTTGAATCTCCTCAACCTTCTTTCTAGCAGCTTTTAAAACAATTTCAAGTCCCTCTCGCTTTCCTTGTAAAGTTGCTAGCTTCCGCTTAACCTTTTTTAGTGATTTCTTGTTAGAAGAAACTTGTTTTGCCTTCTCACCCTCTTCTACTTTGAACAATTGGAGACGCTCTTTGGCATTGGAAATCAACTCCATCTTCTTATCTTCATGTGCCTTGTCAACAAAATTAGAGTGTTCTTGATCATAAGAAGTAGCATGATCAAAAAGAGAATCTACCAAACTCTTCAATGGTGAAAGATCTAATAAATTCATCTCACTCATCTCCTTGAAAATCTCATAAATATCATCTTTGTAAGATGAAATATTGTCTAGAAAAGTTCTGGAAAGTTTTCCACAAATCTCTTCCCAAAGACCCAAGATGTACTTCCTTTTGTAGTTGAACACGACACTTTTTCCTTCAAAGACAGACATAGCTCCATTACTCTTTGGAAGAACTCGGGAAAGCTCATTTGAATTAGGAGTAACCCTTTTAAAGTTTGGCCACGAGAAGTAGATAATGTCTTTTGCTCTTGCTCAGTATTTGAAATTGATTTTGGCTTAGGTCTTGATATTGCAGTAGACTCATCGCTAACTTGTGGCATCTCATGTGGCGATCCTAGTGGATGTCCGGCAGCGTTAACCTACAAGTAAAAATGGTGGATTAACCCTTTTAAAGTTTGGCCACGAGAAGTAGATAATGTCTTTTGCTCTTGCTCAGTATTTGAAATTGATTTTGGCTTAGGTCTTGATATTGCAGTAGACTCATCGCTAACTTGTGGCATCTCATGTGGCGATCCTAGTGGATGTCCGGCAGCGTTAACCTACAAGTAAAAATGGTGGATTAACAAAGTCATTTTATTAAAAAAGAAAAAAGTAAACCTTGTCACTCTGAATTGTCATTGATCTTGAAGGACTATCGACACTCTGAACTTCTACGACTCTTAAATCAACAACTTCATCCCCGGATGGTTCAACCCTTTGCCTCTTCCAACATCGATCCTTGCTAGTTTTGCTTGTTTCTTGAAGGTCCCGTTTACTAGAGAAGAGAAATTGGGGACATTTCTCTTTATCCGTAGAAGTATGAACTACTTCTTTCTTATATACCTTAGAGGAGTTAAGTTTCTTACTTTGATGTTGGGGAGCAAGTGGTGTCTTGACTTTTGAAAGTGTCTTCTCGATATCTTGACTTTTGTCTTCTAAAAGGGTAACGAATAACTTTCCCCACCATAACATCCAAATTATCCTCAAGAACCATTCCATAGGATCTCTCCCACCAAGATGAATATTGGGTAGTATAAAGCTTCTTTGCAGAAGTTACCGCATGAGGAAATGTCGCTTTAGACATAGTTGCACGTGATATGCAAATGCGCCAATATCTAAGGCCTTCATCGAGCGACTCAGCACGAATATCATTTTCTAAATAGCCAGGAATATCTTGATGAAAACCAAATTAGCGACTAAATCGGTGTGGACTATATGGCTTAATGACAAAGGAACCTCCCCTCCTCAATGGAAGATAATTAAAACGAAGGCTCATAAAATAAGGTAGCTCCAACTCTAGTGTTTTTCCATCATCAATATAATAAGTTGGGTAAGGCCTACTAAGCATGGTTTCATTCCATACAATGCTTTCCCCCGATGAACACGCTTTCTTGCCTCATCTTTGTCAAAGTACTTTGCAGTACCTTCCCCAGAAGATACCACCATTCGTGGAAGAGAAGGCCCACTAGTAGCGGATAGTGTGTCTTGAGATAATAAGCAAGCCAATCATAAACATAGTGGATGGGAAAACATACTCTTATATGATCTAACTGTGAATAAATTGAAATTTTATTAAGCTATGATATATGCTTGCTAAGGTCGGAACCGCAAGGCTACCCTTTTACCGCTCGCCATTAAGCTTGCTATTTTGAAAGTTTCAGGCCGAATGAAATTCCCTTCTTCAGATGGAAATACAAAGGCACATAACCAACATGACAAAAAGGCCGTCAGATAAGTCTCATATTTTTGGTGTTTCGCTCCAAGCTTAGAAAATACCATCTCTTGAGTACTTGACCATGCGATTATCTCAGTAGGTATCTCACCGGTTGGATTATGAGTAGATGACAGACGTCGAGATTCTTCTCTTTCCTTGGGGGAGCTAGCTCATATTTGATATCTTTCTTGCACCAAAATTGTATCCATTCATTAAAAGAGACCCTCATATTACCATTATTTTTCTCTTTAAGACGATGAAAGGCAACAAACATACACTTACAAGTTCAAGGAAGAAATCTTTCCCTCTTGTCATCCAAACTTGTAACTTCCGTGGAGTTAGGTATCACTTCTTCGTAAGGGACTCCGCTAATTGGCAAACCACCTAGAATATGCAAGTCCCAAAGAGATATGGATGTTTCTCCGGTAGATGTAAGTAATGTATCTGTTTGAGCGCACCAAGCCTCACAAAAGGCTTGTATAATATTGGAGTTCCGATCATAAGTAAAAAGAGAAGCAAATACAGCATCAGAAATACAAACATTGTTTAGACTTTACCCATTTTTGCTTAGACATCTTTTGTCCATTCCCAGTATCCCGGAATGCAGTGATATTCACCTTCAAGCACACACCATATTGTCTCCCCAACGTAGTTTCTCTAGAATCATGCGGCGACCTAAATTTGAAAGAGTGCTCGCGATGTTTGTACGTTGAGGATTGGTTTCTCAAGATACCACGCTTTTGAGGCTTTATTAGATTTGTGATCGTATTTGGATGTCCAACTTCTCATATAAAGCGTATTCCTCAATTGTGGCCATGGATCAACATAACGATCAACAAAAGAATCCTGGACCAAAAATTTAGTCTCCACTGTACTACCCTCTGTTCCAACGATGAGATATTTGAGTTGAGAAGATGGGCAAGTATAATCTTTGAAGAAAACCATTGTTCAAAACTGCAAAAAAAAAAGTGTTAATATTTACTTATGATGATGCATGAAAGAAGATAAAACTTGAAAAAAAGGGGTGGTTAAGAAGGGGCGAATAATTTAAGCATTAGGGA